CAATTCTGATTAGTAAATTAATTATTAGTTTAAACTGAACATATTCATTATTTAGAAAAGATATTTTAAATTTTAATTAAATATTTAAATAATAGAATACTGATTCATTTTTCATACAGATGTAGAAAGTGATAAATTTTAAACGTGAGGCTTAAACATATTTTTGGTGGGCTATAATATAAGGCATTCATTTAAATTTGTTATCAAAATTCAATAATATCACAGCCAAGTTTTAACCAAATTGTTTACTTACAATCATCTCCTACAGGTCCAGCAGAGCATTGTGCTGGTGGGTCTCTGCCTAAGTCTTGAAGTTCCTAAATACAATCATTACAATAAATACAATTCTTATATTTGTAATATGAATTATTAACAATAAATATAATATTAATGATAAATTAAAATATTTTTTTAAGGTTAAAATAATTAATTATTGTTATAAGCCAAGATCATTGAAAAGTCTTTTTTTTTTAATGTACTTTGTCACTTAAAAACATTTTTGTTTATATATAAAGACATATAGCATTTAGGATTAAAAATTAAATAAGAAAATGTTTAATTTAGTTAAAAATTAATATGTAATAAGGAATATAAAATTAAAAAAATATATAATAATAATAATAATAAGCTAGGCATTAATACACATTCAGTATGTTTTAATTTAATATAATTTTTGAGGTTATTAAATAATAGAAATAAAGTATTATTACTTACGACAAAAATAATAATAATAAAACTATTTTTAATATTTAAAACTGAATGGTGTTTAAAATCTGTTTTAATATAATTAACATTAACTGTTTGTGGCATTTAATTATTTTCATGACATTAAGATATTGTTAATCAATAGTACCTAATTGTAAAATAAATAATGAAATAATGTTACATATGTTTATGTGTCTAATTAAATTGTAAAAATGCATATCATGTATAAATTAAAAAAACATGGTATAGTTTATAGCATACTCATGTTTCTAAAATTACATTATCAATTCAGAGACAAACATTTTAATTCAACACATCAATCTAGAATATATTACTTATTCTTATGATTTTTGGAATTGAATTTACAAATATAATAGATTAAAATTAAAAGCCAGGATTTTGTTATAAAGTTCTATAATTATTAATTTTATTATGTATTTTCAGTTTAAAAGTTGAGTATTGCAATATTTATAATTTAAGCAAAGGTAATTTTTAGAGTAGAAATAAAAAAATATTTTAACTGTACTTAAAGGTTAGATTAAAAATAAATTTGTGAGAAACCGGGTTATAAGTTAATATAATTAACTATACCTAGATTGATTTTGTGTAAAACTTATTAGATATTAAACAAATAAATTTCTTCTTTTTATTCATAAGACAAAATTTAACAAAAATTATTAACAGACTATCAATAGATTAAGCTTGAAAGTCATAACCAATTTGTTAATTGATTATTATTAAAGACAAAAAAAAGTGCATTAGTAATAGGTAGTGTCACATAATGAATTGGATTGCGTTCTATTATTTGCTTTGTTAAATATAATAAAACAATACAACTGGCGTTCTACGCAATTCCAACGTAAAGTATATATAAATGAATAAAGAGAGATTGATGTCAGGAATGTATTATTACAACTGTTAATCGATATCAGACCTTGAGATAAAAAAAGACAAATACAATAGTATATTAAACGGCGTTCGACCATGGACTATGAGAGTATAAGTATTTGTGCTTTTTATGCCTCAGACATTAGGTCATCAGAAAAGTAGAACTACTGCATTTGAGTAGTATCGTGCGACCAAACCGCATAGGCACCAATTGTTTATCAGGGACCGACTGCATCTATTGAATGCGGTCTGCGGTTCAAGGGAAGACTTCTCTTCAAGGAAACGATGGCAACGTCGAATAAATCCCTAGTGAGTAAATATCACGGACACGATGCTAAAGGACATAGCCGCCATCGTCGTGCACACGCCGCCGCGACACACCACGCTGATCGGGGGTGGGGGGAGGACAGAAAACGAACAAGAAGTTGTATAATAATGGTACTAAGCGAACATGCTTTGACCGCTCACCTTATTGATACGTTTCAACGCCATTTTACGACGATTCTGTGATTGATAATGTTGCCGTTGTTTTTGCTCTTAACGTCGTGTTTAGGAGTGTGCGTCGACTGCGAGCCGTGCGTCTCGTGTACGTGAAACGCGTTACGCCCGAACCGCCGTGTGCCGTGAAAACGCGTACGCGCGAGACAGCCGACGACCGTAGTAATATTAACAATATCGCGGTGTCTTAATCGTGTGTATATTCACCGCCGTCGTCGTTGTCGTGTGTAGTGTAGAGCTGGTGAGATTCGGTTCCACCAGCAGCGACGCGCACACGAATTGTTCTACGCGTGTGTGTGACGTGAGTGTGAGTATGTGCGTCAGTGTGTCCGCTTATTACACCACAATCGTATATGCGATTTGTAGCGGGTTCGTGCGCGTGCGTGAGTGCGGGTTATCAGAAAAGGATGGCCGTGCGGGGTCGTGTGTCGGGGAACAGAGCACGGTATAATATAGTATACAAGATGGCCGCCGACGGCCCGAACGCTCGTGCGCGCGCACGCACACGAACGCGGCGGCTCCCGGATACGGTTGTTGTTCCCCGTCGTCATCTTGCCCGAACTTGTTAACTCGTGGCGGGGATATAGTGGCCCGTTGTCTAATGTCTTATATAGCATTTTTCCGATAACAACTGCTGCAGCCGCCGGTGACGTATTCGTCTTTTCGGACGACTGTCGTCCCGTCGCCCTCTACTGGTCAACTTACCAACAGCTGCAGCTGAGCGGTAACGACTATATAACGAGTTTGATGGGCGACGTGACCCTCCAGCGTCACAGCAGCAGGCTTCACAAGGGAATTCCTTTATTTGGTCATGATGTACCCATGATGTGCCCAAACGTCGTTGTTTAACCTCTTATCACGTGGTTCGGCTCGACTGAGTCGACTGGTGTGGTGGTGTCCCCGCAGAATAATTTTTGTACCTATAATATTATGTAGTGTCCCGTCACACGTTATCACCGTCACCGACGTTGCTGCACAGCAGCTGCTGCAGTGTTGCCGCTTGCCATCCTCCGGTGAACTGTCGAAACGGCTACGATGGCTGGTAGAACGGTCTTAATTTCGTTACTAGAGTTTTATGATTATTATATTATAGAACGATATTATAAAAATGATTCTCGATTCATATTATTTTAGATGTCGTTCTTTTTTTCATATCCTGGTTGTGTATGATGTGTTCCTACGGAATCGATATTTTAATACTTTTCTTCTTTAAAAAAAAAAAATATATATATACCTATGTATTTTGTTCAGTAAAAATTAAGTAATAATTAATAATAACCAACATACATCCATACAAGTGTACAACTATTACGATTCACATAGGGTTATTTTACTCGTTTTGTTCGTCCTTCCGCCTAGTTTTCTCACGGAATGTAGTGATTACTTGTTTTCTAATTTCCCCGTCGCGGTTGGCGTGTGAATTTTATATTAATGATTTAGCAAATAAACATCGTTTACCGTTACTATTTCGTATTTTCTACTGTTATGTTGTTCCAACAGAGTATGTATACAAATACACAATATTATGTTTAGCCATCGTTTATTTGTAGTTCGCCTACGCTCATCAACTCTTCAAGGCATAAATATTGCACTATTCCGATTTAAATTTCAAACTTGGCATGTTATCATTGAAGGCGTCATTTTAAGAAAGCGATTGGGTATATAGTTATCGAATTTTATGCGATTCGGAAGTTCCATTTTAAATTTAATTTAATTGTTATCAACTGCATGTCTGCATAACGTTATCCGATTTATTTTTGTTATAGTCCCACAATGTCACAATAAAGTATCAAATTTCGACATTTTATATAACCTATTATTGTCATAAATGTTTATAGGCTTTAAACAAGCCTTTGATACAAGTACAATGAGTGTATATTTGTTTTAAAAATTTAAAATGAATTCGTTTTTTATAAATAAATTATAGAATATTTATAATTTAATTTGTTTTGTCACTCTATATGTTTTTTTGAAACCAAATATCTGTTTTATAACATATATTAGGCGTTAAAAAATGTGAAATGAAAGTGTGCGTAGTTTGGATTTTTTGAACATAATTAATTATTCTTTTTGACTTCTTGAAATACCAACATATTAAGACAAAATAATACAATCATTCATAAACGTTTTAAAGCACTTAGGTAGATAAATTGTTGTTATTCCAAATTAAGTAAACATGGTTACATGTTATTTCTGTTTCACACAATTCAAAATAACATTCCAGTTGTTATTATTTCTCAAACTCTAAGTAGTTGGCATTATACTGAAAAATATTATAATTACCATTTTAGAATATTAAAATAAAAAAAAAATATTAAATTATTTGGGTATAGTTGTTTTATAATTGTATAAGCTTGAGTATAAGTTAATGACTGTAATAATTATTTACCAATATTATTAATTCTTCAATTTTAATTTTTTCAATGTACTTTTTGAGATATCAATTAAAATTATTTCAGATAAAATGTCTAGGGATATGATTAATAACATATACATTTAACAATGGCAAAACAGATTTTAAATTTTAGTTAGAATTTGTAATTGTCTCAGGAAAATTTATATTAATTAATTAACAGTTGTATTTACAGAAAGAAAATATTAAATAAATACAAATAAAATGGAAATTGGCAATAAGAATAAAGAATACAATTAAAATAATTATTTATGTTTGCATCGTGATAATGTCTATTGATGATCAATTAAACAACAGTTGCACTAAAAAAAATGTATGTTAAATGCACATATTACATTATATATTTAAGAAATCTTATAGTACCTATCATAAATTAATTGCTTAAGTAATGTATTAATACATTTTCCAGGTTAAAAACTGACATACTAAAAATATTAAAATATATATTAATTTATACAATATAATATATAGTATATAAAATATACTTTACAGAATATATCTTGTATAAAAGCTACAATTAGTGCAATACATTTTTTCAAGATATATATAGTTACAGTCTAACGAAAAAGTAAGAAAAACAAAAAAATTAACTATACTATGTGGAATTGTTGAATTGGATCTTGATAGTAGATGACAGATTCATTTTGATTGTTCTGTCCAAATATTTTTGTATAACTTGTGTCATTAGCTAAATTTATATACATAAAACAATTTATAAATAAACAAACTATTTAATAATATGATATAGAACAAAAATAAGTCAGTAAAAATTTAATAAGACAACAAATATAACTTACAAAACACGTCATCCGAAAGTTCTTCAATTCCAATTGATTTGTCTCCTTTTGTAGCCTTTAAATATATCAATATTATGTATAAACATAATTTATAAGATAAGTAATAAATATAATATTACCTCTCTATATTTTTGTAAATATAGTTTTAAGGGTTCTACATAATTGTCAAAACCTAAATTAGACATTGCATAAAGAATATCTTCTCCATTAATAGTTTTACGTTTTTCTTGGAAACATCTGTCACTAGCTTCACTGGTTATAAAACTTATAAATTCCGAAACACATTCTTGTACGCATTCTCGAGCATCTTTTGCTATCTATTAACAGTAATTAATAATGTGACTTATTAGTGCATAACATAGTATTGTTAATTTATAAGTAAACCTTTCCACCATCTGGTATAGATTTTTTCATAATTTTTGCAATATTTGCGATAGGAAGAAATCTATCTTGTTCTCTAAGTGGTTTGCCAAATTTAAGTTCATACACTTCTCCTTGATTTGATGAATCATCTGTATTGTCTAATGTGACCATTTCCACACAATCTTGAGCATCTTGTCCTACAAAAAAGAAATTAGATAATATCGGGATCCGAAATTAATGTATTTTAGTGTCTAAAATAGTTAAGTCAAATTACAAGTAATATTCAGTAATTATGGCATATAATTTAAATGAAATTAAAAAGATATAAAAAAAGGGTAAGTAATGTAAACTATTTAATCTAAAGATTGAATTACTGTTAGGTATGTTATGATTAATAAAATTTTATTATAAATTATACATCCTTTTGTTCAGTTTTTAATATTATACTGAAATGTTAAATAAAATATATTTTTTTAGGTATATGTTGATGTTGATTCTAAACCGTTGAACAAAAAAAAAAGAAAGAATAAGGTTTAAAACAGAAGAAAATATGGAGTTCTCTGTATAGTGTGGTCAATAATAATAGTTGTCATACGGTTTGTGATAAAATAAATAAATAATTAACATATTTTATGTTTTAAACATTTTAATCTTCATTGAAATGTATACATAAATTATACAAATACTCATAAAAATATAAGACTATATTATATTCATGATATTATCAACTTTATATTAAGTGAACTCCATATGAATTAAAAATATAAGAAGTAAACTTTTTCAAAGGTAACCTAAACAATGTCTTATTATAATATAGTAATATATATTTTTTAATAAGCTTACTAACCTTGAGATAAGAAATTTTGATGGTCGTCTGTTAAAAACTCTTCGGTCAAATCATCGCTGTCACTGCTGTTCATCGTGAGATCGAGGTAAGATTGGCTGCCCACTGCGAAATTTACTTGTCGATAAAAAAAATTATTGAATAAATGCCTACCACACACCGAATCGTAATGTCACAAGTACGACGTACTCAGTCTGAGTTCAATAACAAACAACTCAAAACGGATGTCAATAAGAAATGGCTCCACAGTGCATGACGCTAACTAGTTACTTAGGTAATAAATAATAACAAATGAGTAATGAGTAAAAGAGTTGTTATTATGTTCAAACACTTCAAACGTTCAAAGTTTAAGTTACGAGATACAACATACAGTCACGGACAACAGAGTCAACAGACTGAGATAAGTACGTGGTTTTTATTAGTGAATTTCGATAACAGTAATATTGTAATACCAATCTTGTATAATATCACTGATAACAGTAATTTGTTGTAAATCACATTCAGACAGAATTATACAATAATATATTACAATAATAATACAATATTATTATAATCATACAACACACCCGTCTTGTTTACAATATCCTTGGCGTGAATTGTGTTTACCCTTCGGTGGTGTGAGAGGTAAAAAAAACAACGCTGTACGTGGATCATGAAGCTAGTTTTAAAGGGGCTTAAATTAGGCAATCTAGTACATTTATAAATAATATTATTTAACATAATGTTTAAATAGTAATAAACATATAAAATAAAAAACTTATATTAAATGCATCGATAGATGTCTTAGTACTTACACCAGAATACACATAAAAGTCGATTTATTATACCGAAAGTCACATAAAGACGACAAATCATAAATATTGTGATAATATTATATTAATAAGTATCTTATTGATATACAAATGACATGCACACTGTCGAGCAAGAGAATGCGTTAATTCTACGTTTTACCACGTCACATCTCATTATAGTTAAACTGGTCTTGAAAGCGGGGTGTCAAGCGAAGATACGCAGAAGAACCGATTATCTTCGCACTGCGACGTGTTCTTTCGTTAGACAGAGTATAGATATGAGTGACTTAAATTAGTGGACAAATAACGAATGTTCACTATTGTGATTGTAAATTGAAATTTTATAGAAGTAACAGTCATAAGTTATGACTCATAATTCACAACTGCTATTGTTACTCCAAAAATCATGATGAAAATAGCAATGCTACTTTAAAAATACAATTGTATAACTAACGACTGCTTCTTTACATGTATCACATATGCTATGATATTTTAATGCTGACTGCTACTTATCAAATACTTTATTATAACTATTACTTCTAATATTAATAATAAAATCAGTAGCAGTTATTTTTTTAATCCGACTAATAGTTATTAACAAAAATGTAGAGGTTGCTGTATTTTCATTCCGGAATAGCAAACTGTGATAATTATGATTGCTACTTTGAAATAACCCGTGAAAAATTACTGCTACTGCTATTGTATGGCATTATAGTTCAATAAATGGTCAATACCATGAACACTGGAAGTTAAACCTTAATAGGTCAATGTATATTCTGAGAAACAAGTTTCTCAACAGATATTGTTTATAATAATTTAGAATTTCAATTTTAGATTAGAAATCATAATTTAATGATAGTTTTTTCTAATAAACTGTGAGAAATTTAAAAAAATTATTTAAAATCCGTAAAAAATAATAGTGATAATGTAAGAAGTCAATTTATTCTTACAACTTTAAGTAAAAGAAGTAGTAAAAAATAATAATAATGTTTTATTGAAGTTTGTTTTACAATATTATTATTAATTTTATTGAAACATGGATATCTTTTTATTTAAAACATTGGTTTATATCAATTTTACTGCATTTAGTTTTTTTTTGGGTTTTTATCAGAGTTTTTCTCTTTTTAGGTTTTTTATTACTGAATTCGGTGTGTATTTTAAAATAAAGCCATACAAAAGTAAGTTGTTAGATAAGGCTACATTTTTAATTAACGGTTATCATATTTTTTAAACAGTGATAACTGATAAGACGGTTAATTATGGTATAAATTGGACGCCACTCAAGAAAAACTTGCTTATGAAGGGGGACTAAAAATTTACAGAAATGTTTGCATTCTCTATACATAAAAAATGGCTCCGCCTATGAATATAATTTTAGTAATTTTAAGAATGATACTCTTGGGTACATAATCGTTAAATATTGCATTTTCAAATTCACATTATAGATCATTTAAAAGATTTTTTAATAAATACTGGAACAAAACATTTGATATATACATTTTTTAAGTTTTGAACTCTTGAATATATAGAAATATTGTTAACTCTTTACGGTTCATTTCAAACAATAATAAAAGATGTAATGCCTCTGAATTGCATATGCAAGCGCCGTTCTTGGTTTTTTGCTGTTTTGTATATTATTGTAAATATAATTAGTGGAATTGCAGACGACATTGATATACTTAATATTATTGATGTCCGAAATTTGAAACTTTTGTTAATACAACATCAGATGTGCTGTTGGATCATCACTATAACGCCGTCTATATTATAGCTGTGACATAAAATGGTTTACCGAAAAAAACATAAATCATTTAATATACATAGACGCGATTTGTCAATGTGCGTCTGTGCCACGCACCAAGTAAAATGCGTTAAAATGATTTATCGTTTAGGTTATCACGATCGAGTGGTTTTACTTTTTTTCGAACACTATTGTACGCAAATACGTAATAACCTAGGTAGTGCGATTTAATTTTCGACCAGACACGCGAAATCGAGTTTTAACGCGCGTATTATTTGCTTGTCTCCCGTCCGAATGAATTATTACAGGCTACTTTTCGAAAACCTTTTCTTTATATTTTTTGTGCATGACACAGATAGACATTAGCGACCAACATTTATATATATTTATACAATATACATCTAAATGTATGGTTGACAGTAATCACGCCTGACAGAGTCGACGCTGTAAATGTATAAATTTATTTTTGTTTATGACTAATCTAGATTGAGTATCACAATTCATTTTCGTGTAGAATCTCATTTTCTACTGGTATAGGTGTCCTATACACTATGTAGAATCTCATTTTATAAAGCATTAACTACATAGTTTTGAATGTAACATTATTATTACATCATATTATTTTTGTAACGATTTATTTATGTTTAATAAAAACCTCAGTTTATTTTCAACAAGTAATGTAAGTACAACGTACAAATGTCAAGTTTCCATTGTATTATGCACATGTTATATAATATATAATTATGTTTAAAAAGTATGATAGATATGAATTTTAAAAAAGGAATTCTTCAATAAATAAAAAATAAATGTTATATTATATATATATATATATATAGTGGTAATAATAAGGTCTTTACCTTATTATTCGACATTAGTAATGATAATAACAATAATAATAGTAATAATATAATGGGTATTATAGGTACTGATAAGCATTGTAATTATTAATATTATTATCGTTACCATGCCGTACCGTTTATATAGATTAAAAACAACGAGAAGGACTTAAATTAGGAAGTATAGACAAAAAGCGCACTTTATTCAGCTTAAATATATAGATGATTAGGTATTATTGTTGATTTCATTTATCTTTACAAATCAAATATAACAATATTAATAAATTACTCGTTTTGAATGAAATCAAAAATAATAATATCAAGTATAAGACTAAGATAATAGAGGAGCATAGACAAGTTAATAATTTTTCATAGACACCGTTTGAAAATACACCGAAAAATTACGTTATGGGCAGTAACACAATAAATATTTTCGGTTCAAACAATATAATTATCATATTGTCTTGCGTTTTTGTTTCTTTTTTTTTATAAATGTTTATAATGTTTATATAGAAACCGAATTTGGTATATATATTATATATATATAAAAAAAAATGTTAAAAAATTATTATAAGTGCATAATTACAATAAAATATTAATACAAAAACAACACATTGCTTAATACGTTTACCCTGGTTAATCATAATGACGATATTATATAGTAAATGTTTTTTTATAACAATCTAAAACCGAAGTTTAACAGATTTGACTAAAATATTCAACGTCTAGGTTATATATTATATAAAAAATAAAGGCCCCTATACTTGAACTTACAAACATAATTATAGCAATAAATTAATAGATTAATATCATTAGCACAATACTAATATAATAATTATTTATAGCAACATAAAATAAGAAACGATAGATCGATATGTATGGTACGGTTGGTTGGGTATGGGAAATAATACAATAAACATAACGAGTGTTTTGGATAAGAGTTTGGAAGGTAACTTTTGAAACAAAATCTCTTATAAAGTTTTCAACATAGGCCACCTGCATATTATGTAGTTTACAATAGTTTTGCTAGCTTAAATAGTTAATTCATAATATACACATATTGTTATAGTAGGTATTAATAAATATTGGTTTTAACATTAATTTACAATATAATTGATAAAAAATAATTTGAATATACCGATGTTTTATCACATTTTATTTTGTAAATAGTATTCAACGATGCGTTGGGTTAAATATATTTTTTACAATACGAATACGAATTAATTATTGCTGTGAAAACAATATTACATGTGAAACCCTTTTGACCAATAATATAATTGGGTATTAGGACGGATATAATATAAATTATAACCTATTGAATAAAAAAATAGGTGTTTCCCAAAATTTTTGAATATTACCAAGTAAATAATGCGAATTTGGAATAAGAGGAATAAGAGAATAAAATTGAGGCCTATTATTATTATTACCCCCTGACACTTGTCATAGTTTACACAAAGTTTATCAGGAAGTTTTAAATGTTATATCTGTAAAATACTCAATTGCCTAGAAAATCAATCAAGAACGAATAGTATTTAATTATTATAATAAAAACTACTTAAAAATACTAAGAAATGTAAAATTACAAGAAAAATAACCGAGCAAATGGTATGAAAACAAGAATAATCAATCTCTTTACACGAAATCAATGAAATGGATGCGTACTAGAAGAAAACAACATGATGTAATGGAAGACGTTATTAGTAAATATATATTTAACATGTGTATGGTAGTTTAATACTATTATTAGAGTTTTAATAGTTTAAAGCATTTAAGTAGGTATATGTAGGTTATTACGATGGATGTTTAAACATGTATAGATTTTATGTTTAATGTTTCAATAAGCGTTTCACAATAAAATGACCGATATTTCGTATTATCAAGTCGTCGAGTCCAAGGAAATGTACATTACATAATATATATTTAAGTCAGATTGTTAGAATAGACATGATTACTCACAGAGTAATATAAAGAGATAAAAACAATAATACGTTCCGCAATTACACGCCCGACCGGATGGAAATTGGTTTGTGGATCGATACACGATTTGGCTTAACCTGTTTCTGGTGAAAGATTCC